ACACACTCGCACACAAACAACACAACACACACACACACGCACACACAACATGCACAACAAAACACACGCACACAAACATACACACACAACACAACTCACACACACACACACACACACACTCGCACACAAACATACACACACACACTTGCACACAAAACACACACACACACTCGCACACAAACATACACACACACTCACACAAACAACACACACACTCGCACAAAAACATACACACACACTCGCACAAAAACACACACACACTACAAACATACACACACACTCGCACACAAACACACACACACACACTGCTTGGGATTATTCACGTACTCATGATATTGAAGGGAGTAAGAGGACATCATCTTGATGCCACGTGGAAACGGTGAAATCACCACAGTGAGTACAGATTTAACGAGAAACACCAACAAAAAAACATGTGTATAATATATCCATGTGTATATTTGTGTTTGCATGTGTATATGTAAATACAGAAGACATGGGGGAGGGAAGGAGAGAGAGGGGGAAGGGAGAGGGGGAGGAGGAGGGGAGGGAGGAGGGAGGGAGAGGGGGAAGGGAGGGAGAGAGAGGAGGGAGAGAAGAGAGAGGGGGGAGAGAGTGGAGAGGGAGAGAGAGAGAGAGAGAGGAGAGAGAGGAGAGAGAGAGAGAGAGAGAGAGAGAGAGAGAGAGAGAGAGAGAGAGAGAGAGAGAGAGAGAGAGAGGGAGAGGGAGAAGAGAGAGAGAGAGAGAGAGAGAGAGAGAGAGAGAGAGAAGAGAGAGAGAGAGAGAGAGAGAGAGAGAGAGAGAGAGAGAGAGAGAGAGAGAGAGAGAGAGGGAGAGGAGAGAGAGGAGAGAGAGAGAGAGAGAGAGAGAGCGAGAGAGAGAGAGAGAGAGAGAGAGAGAAGAGAGAGAGAGAGAGAGAGAGAGAGAGAAGAGAGAAGAGAGGAGAGAGAGAGAGAGGAGAGAGAGAGGAGAGAGAGAGAGAGAGAGAGAGAGAGAGAGAGAGTAGGGGAGAGAGAGAGAGGAGAGGAGGGAGAGAAGAGAGAGAGAGAGAAGGAGAGAGAGGGAGAGGGAGGGAGAGGAAGGAGACAGGAGAAGAGCGAGAGAGAGAGAGAGGAGAGAGAGAGAGAGAGAGAGAGAGAGAGAGAGAGAGAGAGGAGAGAGAGAAGAGAGAGAGAGAGAGAGAGAGAGAGAGAGTGAGGGAGAGAGAAGAGAGAGGGAGAGAGAGAGAGAGAGAGAGAGAGAGAGAGAGAGAGAGAGAGAAAGAGAGAGAGTAGTGAGAGAGAGAGAGAGAAGAGTAAGAGAAGAGAGAGAGAGTGAGAGAGAGAGAGTAGAGAGAGAGAGAGAGAGAGTAAGAGTATGAGAGAGAGAGAGAGTAAGAGTATGAGAGAGAGAGAGTAAGAGTATGAGAGAGAGAGAGAGAGTAAGAGAGAGAGAGAGAGAGTATGAGAGAGAGAGAGAGAGAGTAAGAGAGAGAGAGAGTAAGAGAGAGAGAGAGAGAGAAGAGGAGAGAGAGTAAGAGTAAGAGATAGAAAGAGAGAAAGAGAGAGAAACTCACTCTCTCTCTCATGTACATTGCCAGGTAAGGGTACGTGTTCCTGGGAAGAGAAACAGTCAGCTAACAAACTGAAGGTCGGTTATAGGCTCCTCTGTTGCCACAAGATTTTCTTACCCACCCCTTCCTCCCATTAATAAGACACAAAAGTTGTATAGTTCAATAAGTTGTGGGTGGGAGTGTTGTTGAGTGGGTAGTGGGGCAAGAGAAGTGGTATTGATTTTGCTGTCATGACAGTTTTGAGAAAGGTAACTTGAAGACTACATCGAGTAATTGTGCAAGAAAATCTGTTTCAGAGTTAAGACTCTGAAAAAGAATGAAAGAGCTAGTATTATTTAATAAATATTAACAACAGGCATAAGATTTCTGAAAAAAATATAATACCCATCACCAACCTTATAAACAGGATATAAACATAAATGAAATTGAAAGACTGATGATATAAGACACTTTGTCCTTATCTTTCCTATTTTGAATTGGAAGAAGAAAAAAATCTGATATGAAAATAAGAACTAATCATAAGTCTTGTGTTCAACTTTGAGCAGCCAATCAAAATTTTCAATTCCCCTCAACTGAGCTACGTGCACTAAAAGGCTTTAAACAATTGAATCTATCAGATGTATGAAATTTCTCTGAAGTGAATAATCTGGCTCTTGAAGACTTTGCCAGAGCACCAAAGGACCAAAAATCACAGTAATCACTATGAGGTATGCTGTTCACTAAATATCTTATTTATTACCAATAAGTGACCACACATGTAATAGATAAGGAGCATGTTAAGAGTTGGTTGGTATTATGTGCATTTTTCTTTTGTGGGTGATGGTTAGTATCACAACAAGGATGGTGGAAAGATTAGCTCATCAAGAAAAACAAACACACACACACACACACACACAGACAGAGCATACACTGCTATTCATGTTATGCAAAATCCTCTTTAAAAATGGCTCAGGCAAACGCCCACCTGAAGCTATAAATGAAAGTATTGTCTTGAAGTTCCAATAGAAATAAATCAACTCCCTTTTATCCAAGATATGGACAAACTCTGAAGACAACTACTTCCAAGATGTATACAGGACCTAATTGCCTGAACAATAATTAAGAAAGAAACAGCAAGATAACAGTTATAAAGGACAAGAGCATTACATCAACTTCAGTCATCAATCGTCTTATAAGAAAGAATCAGCATATAAATATAATCCCAACTACATATACTGATTTAACATAATAATCATTCGTCTCCTGGTGGAGCAACAACACAAACTACTACTGCTACTATCAATACTACTACCCATAGGGTAATAACAAAATGATGGATATATGGTAACAATAGCATGAACAGATAACAATCAACCTCATGGCATTATGAAAACAAAATTGTTCATTTGCATTGGATCAAGTCTATTAGGCACACAATCAAATTTTACTCCTAAGATGCTAATTACATATGACTAATGAAAACAAGTGAACATCTACTTGTATGCTTTTGGACAGAATCAAAACAATATCACTTCTCCACCCACCCAGGCCAACACCCAAAACAAAAATAAAGATTTAACAGATTAAACTTATGATTATTTAAAACTGACTAACACTTTCCACCCTTTTTCTGCTCATTAGCCTATGCAATAAACACACACATGGCTGAAAGGTGAAATTTCAAATTGTAATATTCTCTTGTTCTCCATTGTTGAAGAGCACAGCCAGAGCACAAACAAGACCTTGCCCAAGCAAACAAAAGAATAAAGAGGAGATAAAAACAAAAGGAAAAATACATCAGAGTGCCGTGTTCCACTTCCTAATACAAGAGCCATTGCACTCGGATATTAGCAAGCCACATGATCACATTGCAAAATAGTAGTATTGATTATCACAAAAAAATAAAGGTTCTTATTGCTTTGCATACTTACCTCTCTGCAACAAATAATCAATCAATCAATCAGGCTGATAATCCTTAAAGAGTGAAAACAAACTTTTTTTCTTTCCAATTATGTAATCAATCCTGTGATATTTGAGGTGGAAAACAGTGAGACCAAAATAAATAAAGAAAAGAACATTAAAACATGAATCAAAAGGGATAAAATCTCTGCAACATTTGACTTGCAATGACTGATGGCAAGATGAATCAATCAATTGCAAAGGTGAGTGAATCTTCCACAACACAATCATATACACAAATAAGCATGTACAACAAAACTGGGTGTTATTTGCATGATCACCCAATGTTAAACTATCCTGACTGGCTAATGTTAAACAAGGACTCTTTCTGTAAGAAGGAACAGTGCAAATGATGAGCAGACATAACAAAAATACAAAGAAAATGGGTCACACATCAACACAAGAAAAAAACTCTTCTTGGGAAAATTCCACTGACATCATTATTCAAGATTTGATTGCTAAGATTTAAAAAGAAAAAAAGAAAAGAAAAATCTGTTCTTTTCTATATCATCTCATTATAAGTATAACCAAAAAACATCTGACCCGTAGCTCTATGAAATGACGAAGGAGACAGATAAGAGAGAGAATGAAAGAGGAAGAAAGAACAGGAAAAGGAGGGAAGGGAGTGATTTAGAAAAGTGATAGGGATACAGAGAGTAAGAAATAAACAATAGAAACCACATAAGAGCAACTGTATACCCGAGAATAAGGGAAGTGAGAGGCAAAAAGAGAAGAAAAGAATAGGGAAAAGAAAGACAAAGAGAAACGAGAAAATAGGAAAGGCGACACAAGCAAGAAGAAGATTAAAATAGTACGAGCAAAGGAAGAAAGCAATAAATAACGCGAGAGAACCCGAGATACGCACAGCAATCCACGAGGAAGAGAATCACGCCATAGCTTCATCTCCAAAAGCGTCCTTTACTTGATTTTCAATTTACACTTCCTTTATCAGTTACCATTTACTTCCCTCTCTTTCTTCTTGCTAAAGGCTAGGATTAAAAAAAGGGAATAGATACAGAAACCAGCAAAAAAAGAAAAATAAATAAACAAATAAAGATTGAAGAATTGGAAAGTAGAATAACAAATGGGAGGATAACTAGGAGAGAGAATAACTGCTTAGAATAACGAAAAGAAGACACAGAACATATCGAAATGAAGGAATAAGGAGGAAGAAGCGAGAGCAAAGGCATAATAATGGAACGGAAGAAAAACAAATGGAGGGCGAGGGACACGAGACGATAACACAATAGAAAGACAAGTTGGGGAATAAACGACGGAATAACGAAGACACACACGATACAACACCGTGAAAAACGCGAGAGAGAGAGAGGGAAAGAAAGAGGGAGAGGCAGAAGCGAAAAGTTGGTGAAAAAATGAGGTTAATTCAGCCTCTTTGTCGACATGGTTGAAAATCCCGAAGGAAAAGCACCTCGAAAAATCTTTCTCTCTTTCTCCCTCTCCGTCTCTTTCCCCCCCTGAAAATCCCAGGCAGGACTCAAGCCCACAGGCACGTACCTCCGACTCGTCCCCTTCTTCGCTCTCTGACTCGCCGGAGACCGTGAAGAATTTATCCTGAAGGTCCGCATACGTTTGGCATTTCTCCGGGGTGGCGCTCGAGCCAGAGGACTTCGCACCCTCCGCTTTTACTCGCTCTTTTTCGCTCTCGCCCGCAGGTCCTTGTACGACATTCTGCATCTTTCACACAGCGAGGATCCTCTCGGCATCAGCGAGCGTGCCGAAGTCTCGAAAAAACCATCGGAAAGATGAAAAACTCACGCTTTTTTCCCCCTAAGGAAGGAGTCACATCAGGGATCGGTCAGCCATGTTAACATTACACACTCGAGGACCCGGATGACGAGGTTCCAATAATCTTTCTCTCTCACTTTTAGGCGGGTTTTACCATCGATGGGGGGACTTATTTCCGGGTATTTTATTTTTGTTAATTATCAATGTATTTAAAATGTTTATTTTTATGGATTTTCTGGTGGTTATGTGAATTTTGGCAAGATTTTTTCCCTCGCTTTCCCTCCGATTTTAGCCCCTATTGTACGGTTATTCCGTGTCTTTTATCTTTTTTCAAAGTATTTTTCTTGAGTACAGGTTTATCTATAAGCGTATGTTAGGAGCATGTTTAATTTTAGGCTGATTTTGCAACACACGTTTCCGGTGTTTGGAAGACTGTAGCGGTGCGGGAGCGAATTCGCCCTCCCAGCCCTAAGCATTGGTATTTTGTCCCATTTTCTCTTATATATTTTAAGCCTTATTTTCAAAACGGCAGCTCTTTAAGTGGTATTAGTTAAAATCTAAAAATATATTCCAAGTTTTTAATACATTGGTGTGGCTTGTTAGTGTATTTTAAGAACGATTTTCCATCTACGTTGCAGCAGTTAAAATCAAATTCGCTTTAATTTTAAAATCTAACTTCGTTGTGTGGTTTAAAAAATCGATAATTCATGAGTGTAATAATCACTCTGATATATTCCCATCTACCTATTGACACAATGCATAAAATGTGTCATGAAACTAATGTAAAATATGGCCATCAAACAATACGTAATCATTATCATGAATATCCGTGATTTTCCCAGATTCAAAAGGAAATCGGTAAAGGCATAGCATATATCCAATACAAAACACCGAACATATTGACGCAAGATTCTGCCATGCACTGTCCATGCACCAGAACCCGTATCATGCACTAAGCGACATCTGGCAGGCCTAACAGCAACCGCCTGGCAACCGATGGCAACCGCGTCATGCATGTCGTCTGGCCCTCATGGCAATTTTCATCATGTGGGGAGTCATTTTCTCGTCTTATCTGACTGCGTACTGGGGCTGAGAGTGGATGGATAAGGAAGCTATAGGACAAGGGACAGTATTTGATTACGTCTTTATGGATTGCAAATTGCAATGTTCATTCACACATGGCAGCTTTACTTACCCTAGTTGGCTCTGGGTCGAACTGTCATGCAAAATTGATCATAACCGTTACATGACACAAGGCGAGACGCCGTTAATAACGCTACTTCATTACGCGCTAATGAAAATCAACCGAGATTTTTTTTTTCAAAACGTGTCATAAACAAGCACGCATTTAAAGGCATTTTACTACGCAGGCTAAATCGTTTTCTTCAAGAAGGTTCTACGCCCTTTGCTATGGCTGTCTATGGACACGTGCATGACACTCCTGGGGAAAGGAAGAAAGGGAGAAGGCATCACAAGACTATCACCCAGGCTTCAATAGACTAATTAAGAGAATCTAACAAGGGAGATTAATTAATGACTGATTAGTGACAGCCAGGGTGGGGAAGTCTCGTCTATTTTGACCACTCCTGAAACCGCACAAAATAAGCAGCGTAATTTTCATCTCGTTACGAAAGACATTTGCCTCAAGCTTTCTCTTCTAACTCTAGGAAAATGGGAAGGGAGACAGAACCCATGGAGAGAGGTATAACATTATTTGTGTTATTAATTCAATGACTGCTACTATCACTTTACAACTACTGCTACTATAAGCCACTGTTACCGCTACCACTGCTGCAGCTATTACTATTATTAATATTTTCTGTGGTTTATACTTTATGATTATTATTGTGGTTGTTATCTCATTATTTTAATTATTATATCATCACTGATAATCATTGTTATTGTAATTATTTTCATTATCATCATCATATCATAATTAAGATTATCAGTAGCATTATTGTCAATATCATCATCATTAAGAATTATCGCTATTGTTATCATTATTATTTTCATTATCATTATCATTTTATCATTATTATGATCATTATAAGCAGTATTATTATTTTTATATTATTATTATCATTAACATAATCATTATTTTATCATTATCATTATCATCGTAGTTCTATTACTATTATTATTATTATTATCATTAGTGTTATTATCATTATTATTATTATTAATATTATCATTGCTACTACTATTATTACCATTATCATTATCATTGTTGTTGCCATCACTACATCACCGTCATCATTGCAGTGGTTGTTTGTGCATCTGCCATCAGCTCTACCAACCACCCTCACCATCAAATGACTGCTTATCACCATGATCATCATCATTTGTCATCATTATCACCATCATCATCATCCTCACCATCACCACCACCATCATTCTCATCATCATCATCACCACCATCATCATCATCATCATCACACCATCCTCCTCCTCATCATCATCCTCCTCCTCATCATCATTCACCACCACCATATATCATCATCATCACCTCCACACCACCTCATCATCATCATCATCATCATCATGTCCTCGCCGCCGCTGTTGCCACGGCAACCGCGCCTTCGGGTTTCCCTGGCGCTGAGGACCAAGACCTCGTGAGTCATCGAAGCCCTCATCGCGGCGGGCCTTCCTCTCCGGACTTAATGGCCGACACGAACGCCCTGTGAATGCACCCTCAGCTGTGACGTGTCGGCGTGACGTGGCCATCAAACACTTGCTAAGCGAACGCCCTTGAAACATCTGTGGCCTAATTATTGGCCACGGCTGCTCGGCGTCGGGGCCATCAGATGCATTTCACGTCGGGGGCTTTCGCTCACGACGCGACGGGCGGGCGGGGGCGTCCGTCGCTCAGATTGGGGGGAATTGATATATATATATATATATATATATTATATATTATATATATTTATTTATTTATTTATACATGCATATATATAATTTTATATATGTTTATATATACATATATATAATTATATATATGTTTATATATATGCATATATAGGTGTGTATGTACATATATATATCCACACGCACTCATATATTTTTATGTATGTGTGTGTTATAAATTAATAGATATAAACATATATATACATACATATGTGTGTGTATGTATACACACACACACATATATATATATACATATATATTTGATCTTTTGTACGTAACCCATACACACAGCTTTGCAAATAAGAAAACCTCAATGACTTCCCACCGATTCCTCAAGATCTCCGAACCCAGAATGACCTGAGCCTTTACAAACAGCGCGACATGACCTTCCTTCCCGCGTGATCGTCAGGTCACGACGAGTTGGCAACGCTGGCGAGGGCGGGGAGGAAGGGGGAAGGAGGGGGGGACGAACCACCTTGACAACGCTGCGACCAACGCGTGCTGGAAAGATCACGTGACATGTTGATTTCAAATGTCGGATACCGTCAACGAAACTCTGTCCGGGAGGTTTTTGATAGAAATATGGCTTTATTTTATTCATTTTACAACAAAAAATATAAAATACATTTAAACTTCGAGCTAATAAAGCGAAAAACATCAACAGGTTAACCGCATAACGCACGCTAAGCCAAGAAAAGTGTGTTTAATATGGTACGTTAGTCTGAATAACAAAATATTTTAGGGAAATCAATGTGTTTATGTCATTTTGCCGGAAAGAGTGATGAAGAGATAGATAGGAAAATAGATAATTATGATATGATAATGATATAAATGATAATGATAATGATATGAATGTGAATAATGATACTAGTAATAATGATAATGATAATATTTACAATAATGATAATGATTATGATGACTTATTGATAATGATAGTAATAATGATCCTGCTACTGATACCAATACTAATAGCAATGATAATAATACTGATAAGGATAATAACGACAATATTGATAATAATTATTATTATGACAAAAATAACATTGATAATAATAATCATTTTTATAAAAATGATGTTGATAATAACAAAAACAACAACAACAACAATAATAATAATAATGTTGATAATAATAATTTATAACAACAACAATAATACTAATGATAATGATGATGATATGATATGGTATGTTATGATATGATAATGATAAGGATGATTGTGATAATAGTGATGGTAGTGATTATAACAATAATGATAATGATGATAATAATGATAATAACAATAACATTGATGAAAATAATGATAATGGTAATGACAATAATGATAATAATGATAACAACAACATTAATAATGACAATAATAATAACAATAATGGTAATAATGATATTGATAAAGAAAAGGATAGTAGTAACGATAAAAATAAAAACACAACGACAACTATGATAATGATGATAATGATGATAACTGTATTTATCATCATGATTTGGATGATGGTGACAGTAATAATAGTAATGATGATAACATTAATATTATCATTGTTATAATAATAATGATTATAATAACAACAACAACAAAACGATAATAATAATAATAATAATAATAATAATAATAATAATAATAATATAATAATAATAATAATAATATAATAATAATAATAATAATAATAATAATAATAATAATAATAATAATAATAATAATAATAATAATAATAATAATAATAATAATTAAAATAATAATAATGATAATAATAATAATAATAATAATGATAATAATAATAATAATAATAATGATATTAGTAATAATAACATTAATAGTAATAGTAGTAGTAGTAGTAGTTGTAGTAGGAATATCAATAATAATGCTACTGACAGCAATGATAATGCGTTGATGATAAATGACAAGGAGAACAACACAAAAAAGATAAAACAGTGACTAGGAATTATGCTTTAGATAAATGATAAAGGAATATAACATCATAATTGGGAAAATTAAATGCCAAAATGATTCCATATACAGATTTAACCCGAGATAACATTATTTTTGAGTCACCCCTGCCTTGAAGTTTTCTTTGGTACGTTGACCCAAATTCGCTTATTAGAGACACAGAGAAAGCGACACATCCAATTGCAGAAGTTTATTGTTTATATAGATCGTGTTTAGATATGATTTAAAACGTTTTATCTAAGTATGTGATAAAAGTTTGTAGAAGA